AGCATTTTCACTGAGTTTCTTAGTCCTTTAGTTTTCTGAGTGTTCACAGTTTTCCTAGCTTCATGCTTCATGTGCTAACATCCAAATAAAGGATCGTCTTCTGTTCAGCCAGCAACTCCGCCTTTCAGTGTCTGCTTCTGGGTCCTGTAAACTAAACTTATTGGGGCACCCCGCCGTGACATGAATCTCTTTATCCTTATGACTCTGTAAGCAAACATAGATTTTACATAAGACAACTGTGAATAAGAAATTCCCATTTCGAAGCCAAAACATTCATTTTGGACACCACAAAAGCCAGAAGTGACCATATTTAGACAAGATGGTTGAGTGCTAAGTTATTAGCTGAGGGTAGCAAACAAGGGTATACAGCTTGGATATCCAAGCTGTATAGGAGCAATGCACAGGCAGTCATGCCTGCTAGTAAAATAAAGGTCTGGTCTCATTCCCAAGGGCTCACCACAGCAGATGGATCTGCATACTTGAGTTGGAACAGATTTTACATTAAATGCCCATCCTAATGCAAACCCCTCCCTCAAGTATTTTAGTCCCAAACCTATGATGGCGTGCCTATTGTCAATTTACTGCATAGTACAGAAATAACAGTATATCGTATATATAGTTTCTTTATTCATATAGATTTATAATATCTGCTCTTTTCTCTAGAGTAGCATGCTTATTTAAAGCCCATAGCGTGGTGCCTATTCTTTTTATTATCAGTGTAATATGTTCTGTCATCCGAGTAATAAACACACTGCACCTCTGTATCACCTGTCACACTTTAATGAAAGGTCTCTAAAATAGCAGCTGTGACTTACAACAAACCATGATGGAAAATATGTGATAACAAAGGCTCAAATGGCCCAAGGCAGAGAATGCAGTTTATCTGATCTGGACGAAAGCATAGACCAGGGGTAGGCAACTCCAGGCCTCGAGTGCCGGTGTCCTGCAGGTTTTAGATGTGTCCTTGATCAAACACAGCTGATTCAAATGGCTAAATTATCTCCTCAACATGTCTTGAAGTTCTCCAGGGGGCTGGTAATGAACTAATCATTTGATTCAGGTGTGTTGACACAGGGTGATATCTAAGACCTGCAGGACACCGGGACTCGAGGCCTGGCGTTGCCTACCCCTGGCATTGACCCTTAGTCAACTAATCAAATCTCTCCTCTCATGGCTTATCCTGCAAAACAGAGGACAGCCTACTAAGGTCGACTGAAATCATTAGCAACTGTCGTGAACAGGAACTGTAAGCAATCGTCTGCCCCCCTTCTCTTCTTTCTTCCAGAGTTCGGCGGAAAGCTGGAGAAGGATATCTGTGGTGACACCTCAGGGCACTATCAGCAACTGCTGGTGATCCTGCTGCAGGTAAAGAAGGGCACTGCTGGAAAGACTTATGTTTCTTTTCCTGATAATGAGATCCTACAGTGATGCCATTAGAAAGTCATGAGAGGTGTAGGCTGGAAAGGGGGAGGGGGATGACAGCACATTTAGTTTCTTTAATGTGATGTTTATACAGAAGGAAAAGTAATTTTCATGGTTCTTGTAGATTTGAGGGATCATTTAATTAGGTGTTCAGATGTTACCTGGGTTGAGAGGTCTGAGCGTACCATGTTTCCATCAACACTGACCTACTTTACTCTATGTTTGTCCACCTGTCTTTGTACCTGTCTGGTTTCCTACCTCTCTTTTTTTCGGCTGGCTGCAAAGGGGAGTAGGGAGGAGGGAGTAGACGAGGAACATATCGAGAAAGACGCTAAGGTAAGAAGGAAGAACACGAGATAAAAATACACATGGCAAGAGCTGGCTTTCCGCTTTAGCTTTGTGAGTTTGTCCAGCGAATTCAAGCAACTTCAACACTACATTAACAAGAAATCACTGTTTTTATTATTAACCAATTACACTGGTGTTAATCAAGCTGTTTTTTAATTGTCTTTTTACAGGACTACTATGTTTTCCTTATTTTTTGTATACAGTACTTTGAAAAAGTCTTGACTTACACTTAATTTCTTAATATTTTACTTGAAAATGGGAAATAAGTGCAGCAATTTATTGAAATGTGGAACATATATGACAAAAACAGAGCTTATGCTATTCTAAAAAAGGATGAAAGTCAATATTTGACCATGTTTTAACACAGCCTGAGCTTTCTTAATAGTTGCCCAGGCTTCTTGAAAGATATTCAAAGCTTTTCTTTGGAGGTCGGCTGCCTTTTTGTTCTGTTCTCTATCAAGATTATCCCACACTGCTTCAATAATGTTGCTGTCCAGGCTCTCCTGCGAGCAGTCAATGCCCATAATAGTGTTCCATTGTGTGTTTTTCTATCTATGCATGCTTGTACTGCACTGGCAGTACAAACAAGTTGTTGTTATCAGCTGGTATTGCATGCTGGATCAGAATTTAATGGTTCTTCTCTGCATTAATAATTCATCATTCCATTAATTTCAATAATCTCCAACACCTGTGGCTGAAATAAAGCCCCAAACCATGACAGAGCCTCCACCATGTTCTACGACTGCAGACACTCACTGTTTGCTTTTTAGAACAAGGTTAATTTAAATAGGAGGAGATAAAATGGGTTGTTTCAGAGAAAGAATAAATGGAGGCATCTCACCAAAGCTCATTAAAAGGTCAACAGGGATTACTTTAAACATTTCGTCACTCATCCCAGTCACTTGGATAAGTGACGAAACGTTTCTCCGACTGAAATCAACACGTCCAGATCAACAGAATTAACTTTTTGGGTATCGTATAGCGAGGCTTAGAAGATCATTTTTAACATGGCAAAAAAATGTAATAGATAAAAAAATAAGGATTATTTCTCAACTAGTATTGATTTCCAGCCACCCAGTGAAGATTGCAAGAAGTTATAGCTCTCTACCAAAAAAAGTCCTGCACATATCCCCTGCAGTAAATTATTGAACTGTCACGTACACACTTCAATCTTTGTACTGGATAAATAATGTGTGAGGTGTTGAGGTGTAGGGAGGCGGATTTTGTTACCTTTGGAGAGACACAGTCTAACTCTTTCCACATGTCCAGTATGTGTGCTAGGCTCACTGCATGATGTTTAATAGATAGACATTGGGGTATCACTATAAATATACAGTTTTCCAGATATTCAATAAGTCTGTTTAAGTTTAAGGAAATGGAAAGTCGGTGCCTCAGGGGAAACTTTACACACTGATATAATTTGTATTACTTCCTATACTTGCACCAAAAGTTGCCATTAGATATACAGAGGTGTGTGTAATAAGCAAACATGAATATAACTCAAATAATTAGCCAGCTGGTCACTGTACATATCTGACCTACGAATTAAAGCCACTTAACCTTTAATAAAGAGCTATATGATGAGGTCAGCTTAGGAATGATAAACTGGAGCAACAGACTCTTTCCTGATTTATGATACAACATGTTTTTAAAGATTTAAAATAATTACGTTTTGATATTAATGTGAGTGAATGATTTTTTTTTTTTAAATTACCCGCAATGTTAAAAAAAATCCTGAAACATGCAAACTGCCTGTGTATTATGTGTATTATTAATAACTGGATCATACTGATACATGCTCTCTAAAGGCCAGGACGAGAACTCTGCCCAAGCCAAGAATGATAATAATAATATAATAATAATAAATTAATTAACAGCAGGAAATTAACCTTTATTATTATGGCATCTTGTTTTAAAACCATTACATGTAGCAGACATTAACATTCAATAACATGTATCTAAACACACACCAAATTATCATGACTAGCAGTCCGTCTTGACTCATAACACCAGAGCGGTGTTAAGCATCTGTGATCAAATTAGGAGAAATAAGGAATGCTAATTCATTAAAAAGCAATAATAAATGACTCATATGAATATGCTATTATTTTGGTATTTGATCATATGATAAAATATTTCTGAGCAAGGATAGAAAAAAAAAAGAAGCAAAAACCTTTGTTTGGTGAAGGACATAAAATCAGTGTGAGTGTTTGTGTGTGTGAGAGAGAGCGAGAGAGAGTATGAACATCGGTGTGTGGTCTTCCATTACAGGACTTGTATGCTGCTGGTGAGGGAAAGTTTGGCACAGATGAGGAAAAATTTATCACAATTCTGGGCAACAGGAGCGCGGAACATCTCGGAAAAGGTGAGTTTGCCAGTTTGCCCGTGCCAGCCCATTTGGATGTTGTGATATGTTCAGGGTGTCCGTTAGCTGTGTAAGACAAACACTGAAAAAAATATGAAAACAAAACAGTCAAAGTGTAAGAAAAGGTGCAGGAAATATCAGTGAAACATGCTTAAACAGCACAGATTGTGGAGACTAAGTTGAGAGCATAGAAAGTGCAATGGTTTGGTCAGATGTGAACAAACAACAAACAGATCGACATGCTTTAGCAAGTCTTTTAAAAGTCAGTTGTTGGCAAGTTTCTATCAAATTACTTGTTTGACTGCTCGTTTCACTGTTTTTCTGATCTAGTAACTTTTTAACTTTTTTTATTAAAATAAAAAATGAAGTCAAGTTTGGTTTAGTAAAATGACGCAGCAATACTAAGATAAAATACAAAATAACATATTAATTTCACAATTAAACCAATATAACATATGACAGTGGATATAAACCTGCTCAAACACGTATGCTCTGAACTCTAAAAATTGTGGTCCTCATTAAGAGGCGAAAAGCTACTAACTTGCTCCACAACTGCAATATGTTGTTTATCAGGAAAGATTTAAGTAAACAACAGACAATCTGTATCTTTTTTGTGGTTGGGACAGTTTCTTTTGCATTTGCGTCAACATTCAACTTTTTAACTGATGAGGCAGTGAGGTACCCCAGGAATATGTCAGTTATTTCAGTTTACACTGATGCCTCTGTATCTGTGCCAATTAGTTTCGATTGTTCAAAATCAACCACTGGAAAAATGATTGCAGTGGTTGATTTTTATGTGGCTTTTAGTGTGGGATACTACTTTCCCTCTTCCTGATTACCTAGTTGTTGCACCCTCACCCACACATGTCTCAGATCATCAAACAGATTTTATTATTACACAAAGATAACACCAATAAATACCAAATGCAGTTATAGAGGCTGGTTTCATTAATTAAGATTAAAAAAATCGATTCATTACCTACATAATTGTAATTGACCCCTAAACTTAATTAGATTTAGATTAGATTAGCCTTTATTGTCTTCCTTGAAAGAAATTTACTTTGGAGAATCGAGTGGAACGCGTCATGTACAATAACACACACATATAAACACTTATTTACAATTTCACCTATTACCATTCAGTAATGGCACTAGAGACAGTTTTAACCTTAAAGTTGTCACTTGTTCAAGCTTCTCTCCACTAATGAAAACCAGACCGTGATCTTAAATAGATCTTGAATTTATTGGAGATAATAACTACTTGTACCATCCTTGAGAACAACAACAACAGTCAAGCATTTGCAATAATTGGCAATGAGCCTTTCACATCACTATGGACACATTTTGTGAATTTTGACCCACTCTCCTTTGTAGAATTGCAAAATTGATGGTTCCATTGATGGAGTTTGGGTAAGTTGTCCAGGCCCCGAAGCAGCATAGCAGCCCCAGGCCATCCCACTACCACCACCACATTTGACTGTTAGTATGGTGTTCTTTTTATACAATGCTGTTAGTTTTGCACCAGATGTAATGGGACTCAAAACTCCCATAAAGCTCAACCTTTGTCTTGTTAGTCTACAATTTTTTTTCCCAAAAGTCTTGGGGATCATAAATGGCAGACATGAGACGAACCTTTGTGTACTCTCTGATTAACAATAGTTTTCATCTTTGAACTCTCCCATAGATGGCATGATTACCCAGTCTCCTCCTTGTTGTTGAATCATGAACTCTGACCTTAATTAAAACAAGTGAGGTTTTCAGTTCTTTGGGTGTTGTTTGGGTTTTTTTTGTGACCTCCTGGATGAGTTGTCAGTGCGCTCTTAGAGTAACTTGGTAGATTGTGCAAAATGTTCTCAGTTTGTGGATCATGGTTCACACCATGGTTCACTGGAGTCTGAAAGTCTTAGAAAGTCTTGCTTTGTAACAGATTCACTAACAGAAGTCAATGACTTTGTTTCAGAAACAGAATCAGAGAATGAGAGAAACTTTATTAATCCCAGAGGGAAACTGAGTTGTCATAGCAGCAAATATACAACAAACAACAAGCACTCATAAAATGTGAGTGTAGAAACAGTTATGATAGATAAATATTAAGATGAATAGATAAATATAGAGATATAGCATAAATATAAACATAAATATACATATATATAAAAGTATGTGTGCAAAAATGTCATGGTGTACAAAAGAGACAGGGTGCATTGAGGTGCAATTAATACTGTATGGATGAATTAAAGAGTCTGACAGCAGCAGGAAGGAACGACCTCCTATAACGTTCCCTCAGACAGCAAGGTTGAAGGAACCTGTTGCTGAAACTGCTCTTCAGATTTCCAGTGTGTTATGGAGGAGGTGGGAGTCATTGTCCATGATTGCCAGCATTCTGTCACTTTTTCTTATCTCTTCTCGAGTTTCTTTAAATTGTGGGATGATGTGAGATCTTCTAACCTACTTCACTTTCTCAGACAGGTTATATTTAAGTGATTTCTTGATTCAACAGGACTGACAGTAATCAGGCTGGGTGTGGCTAGTGAAACTGAACTTGACTTTCCAAAAAATGTGGTTAATCACAATTAATTCATGATTTAGCAAGGGATGGTAAATTACTGTTACACACAGTGCCAGGTAGATATATATAAATGCAATAAAAGAAATGTAATCCAGTGAACTCACCAAAACACACTCATATTGTGCACAAAGAGATCATCTAAGGGCTGAAACTGACATATTTTTTGCCCTGAAGTAAAAACAGGTTCATGTTGAAAATTGCTTGATGTGTTTCTCTCTAATGAGAATGTATGAGTGTCTGTCACTGTGGCTGTTTTGGGTTTTTGCAGTATTTGCTGCCTACAAGAAGATCTCTGGCTCTGACATAGAGGACAGCATTAGAGGCGAGACCACTGGGAATTTGGAGAACTTGCTGCTGGCTGTTGGTAAGAGCCGCAATTTATCTGGGTGATAATTTAGGCGTCACATACACGGACAAGTAATCAGAATATCCCTGGATGGGGTTTTCTTTCAAGAAATTTTGAATAAAATATGACAGAAGATAACACTTGATAGCAAAAAGTGAACATCAGACAGTGTCAGCTTAACTTTACAAAAACTGTAGTCTCATCAGTTTTTGTCTTTTTCCTCCACAGTGAAATGTGCCGGGAGCATCCCAGACTTCTTTGCTGAGAGACTATATAAATCTATGAGGGTATGTCTCATTATCACATCGCTCTAGTCTAATTAATGAAAATACTCACCGATCACTCACCTGTAAAATATATAATATATATATAATAAATAACAATCTTAACAAAGTTAAATCTGTCAAAAAAGATAAGTTGACTACATTAGATTTTGAGGTTAGTGTTGGTGTCATTTTTAACCCTCCATGATGCTTCAGCAAATTACTTTCATGTTAGTCTTGCTCAAATATGAGAATATCAATATATTAAGAAGACTTTAAATTCAAATCAGAAGAGTAGCTACAATACAAGCTGTTGCATTAGAATGAATAGGGCAACAATAGTGAAGTCAAATCAAGGAGCAGTGACTGTGTAGTCATTTTCCAGTAAACTAAAAGGCTGTTTTCTACATCTAAACAGCAAAAAAACAAAAAAACAAAACAAAACAAAATGGTGTTTACAGTGATATAGTTTAAAAGCTTAACTAACCTGGAAGAGGCCTGAATCTGCCTTTCAACTCTGGGCAAGAAAATGTACAAGCATTATTCCGAAATGTTGAATTAATATTTGAAGTGCAAACTAAAGGTTCACTGTGTAATAACTGTAGATTTTGGGAAAGAAAGTACACCTTCCATTCTGAAGTTAGAGTCATCAGAACCTCTGAGGATCACCACATGACATCATTCAGCGTGTGGAAATTTAACACAAAAAAGCCAAAATGTTGAAGCCGTGTAGGCGGAAGTAAGTACGCCCTTATTGTAGCAGCCAGCTACTGCTAATCAAAATCACTTGATCAGCTGATCATCAGCATGTTTAAAATTCTGTTTAGAAATTTAATGTTAACAAAATGTTAAGAATGAACAACATCAGCAATAACTCTGGAAAAGTCATTGTTGCTGCTCATCAATCAGTAAAGGGTTAAAAAGCTGTTTACAAAGAAACTGAAGTCTATAATCTAGAATGATAAAGACTGTTAATATAAAGAAAACATTTGAGGCAGTTGCCAATCTTTCCAGGAGTATTATTATAGGGTCTTTACCTTACAATATAAAGTGCATTGAGGCAACTGTTGCTGTGATTTGGTGCTCCAACCCAGTGTTAGACCATGCAATGCCACAGAAATTGCAAAGACCCCAGAGCTATATCTCAGACTCTACTGGCCTCAGTTAGCAGATTTCTTTCTTTCTTTCTTTCTTTCTTTCTTTCTTTCTTTCTTTCTTTCTTTCTTTCTTTCTTTTTTCTGTGTATTTAGCGAGCTGGAACTGATGACGACACTCTGATGAGGATAATGGTGTCCAGGAGTGAGGTGGACATGTTGGACATCAGAGGCAGTTTCAAGAAGATATACGGACAGTCTCTGTACAGCACCATCCAGGTACTGCTTCAGCCCCCTCAGGATTTCTGTTTATTCCCTTGTGCTCTTTTTTAATGAAACATACTGAATAGTCTATTACTTCAGAAGAATAACACATTTCTGTAAAATGTAATTTTCCTCAGTTGTCTGCATATTCTGCTAAATATACTCATCTGTCCCTCTGCATGACTTTAGAGCACCAGCTGGGTTTACTATGGATATGATGGCTGTACACTACTCACGTCAGTGCATTGATGGAGTGGGGATTAGTGATTTACTTTAAATGTCTCCCTCAGTGTGCTTCCCTTCTTTTCACACCAGATGAAGTGAATAATCTGTTCTCCTAATGCCAGATGTTCCTCCATTGAAGAGTTATTACGATCCTCCTGTAGAGCTAAATGGCCAGTACTGAATAGATAATAACACATTATGAAATAATCTTGAATAAATATATTATATATTTTTTTACAGTTCAGCAGAGTTCATTTTTTCCTTAATTATGGAAGTTATTCTACAATTTCTCCACTTTTTAAATAATTTATAATTCATTCTGCATGTTCACAGTCCCCATACTGTGTACTATTCACTTTGCCTTCCAAATGAATCAGAGCTACATATAGCTAATGACATTAATTACGCCTGTGCTTTTCCTGCTATTATAAGAGCACGTTTATGTCACACAGCAGTTGCCACAATTAATAGATACAAATACAGATAATATTAATAATACAATAACATGTAAATAATGATAATTTCAACATACAAGCCGTAATTATGACTTGGAGACTTGCTTTTTGAATATTTTCTGACAAAAAAAATACCAACCAACCATGGATGCCTGACATTAAAAGTGGAATAAAAATGTAAAGCCTTAACTAAGCTTATTTAAGGCTTTACATTTTTATTCTAAAGTCAAAAGCTATTTTAAGCTTTTGGCTCATTGCTTATACTTAGGCTTACACCCTAGCGTCCACCATTGTAACTGTATTTATATGAGAGAAAATAAAAAAAGCTTAATGGGTCTCCTTTAAAGGACAGTGTGCTAAAGTTTCAATGGAAGTTTTCAATGATGAGTGATTATAAAGTGATATCAAACTTTGCTTTTCCTTATCAATATGATGTAAACATGGATGGTGTAATCTAATGTGTATTGAATAATAATCAACCATGAGTAATTAGAGTGGATCGCTGTAAGCAGTACTGTATAATGCAG